TATTTTACTATCATTTTAAACATATTTTTCAATCCAGTAATTCTAAAAAAATCCATCCCTTCTTCCCAAACACACAAACTAAAATACCATACTAAAATACTCAAACTATTAAAAAACCTCAAAAAAACTCATTTTCCAAACACCCACTTAATTTGATTAGCATATCATAATATAGTTTTGTCGCAAAAATATAAATTAAATAGTGACAATATTACATAAGTCGTAAGATTGAAAATCTGTTATACTCGTAACCATCTCTTACGCCACAAGTGATAATTATCCAAAATTTAATTTATTTCATACACAAAAATATTGGTTTTCGGAAGTAAATCTATAAAGATTTTTCTCAACCGAACAACCTCCCACTAACTATGGCATGTCTAAAGTATGATAAAATATTAATTTCATACAATAGCATCTCAATGTGAATTCATAAAAGAAAACATGATAGAATATTTAATCATGGAATTAAAATTCACAATATAAATAAATCATGTTATTTAAAATAACAACATACTACAAATTCTAATAACATGTTGTATAGAGTATTTAAATAATGTCATAACATATTTTTATAATTTTAAAAATTTTCTAGAATTACAAGTAATTAATAATTACACAGAAAATCATAATTAAATATTATAGAATCTGAAAAAATACAAAACTCATATTAGTAAATAAGATTACATAGCAGTAGTCTACTGTAAAAAAATCCAAGTCTAGAATCCAAGTCATGCTCCCCCAAGAGCAATTTAACATAAAAATATTGAACTATTTATTGATGAAAAATATTTTATTTTTCAAAAAATTATGAAACTTTAACATGTTGTAGAAAACTGAATTACGGGTCCAATGGTATAAGTCATACTTCAATCAAAATTATAATGAATAATCTAGAAGCAATTAATGTAATTTTTAAATTAAAACCAAATAAACAGAGCCTTAATAGCACATCAGCACTTACCTAACGTCAGTGTGTCAATCAACGTCAAGTCAACGGCGCCGATGATGTTAGCAAATTTGTCTTCTTTTTCAATGGCTCTAACTCTTATTTAAAATTAGGATTTGAGTTTTCTGGTCAATTGTAAGTCGGAATCAATCTTATAATTTATCATTTTGAAGGTCTCAAATATATAATTTTTACAACATGAAAACAAAGCATGTAAATCCCACATGCAATCAAGTTACTAAAATCATATATAAATCTCCAATTTTTTCAAAATTCGACTTTCTGATTTTTGCAAAACTTTGCAGATATGATTTAAATAATATATGAAATTTAGGATGATCAGAGATGGTTCAAAAAATATCAATTTTATGTACAAATTATATCTATACCTATATTCATGCACAAATAACATGAAAACATCTAACATTGGCTCTGATACCACTGTAGGAATAGTTATACACAACGGATTAGCGGATTCAATCCATACATTTTACCTTCAAACCGAATTCATAGATCATGTGGTGAATCACGTGTCTCCATTAATGTCTTCGAACAATTCCCAACAATGGAATAGAACTATTAGAGAACTACCCATACTATTCACAGTACAAAGGTTATTCTGTGTTTTTATTGAGAGAGAAAGAATAGAAAGTATAGGAGAGAGAGAGAGAGAGACTGATTATCTATACAGCTAAAATCTTACTCTCTCAAAAATATTAGGTATATTATGTGGGAGAGTTATAACCACCCACAACTCTATGTGTCTGTTTGGTGCAGCTTAAAAATTGCTTATTTCAGTTTTCAGCTTAATTTAAGCTATTTTGATGTGTTTGGTTTAGCTTAACAATGCAACTTATAGCTTTTTGTAAGTCAGAAATCAACTTATTCTTTGAGTGAGACAGGAGATGCTTAATTTATAAGTCAGAAATCAGCTTATATTCATAGTTATAAGCTATAAGCTGTTAAGGCATAAGCTATAAGCACTTTCTCACAGCTCTACCAAGCAGGGCCTATCTCTTTAAGAGATGAGACAGTGGGTTAATCACACTTTTTTCCAGGATAAATTAATCCAAGTTCACTTTGATTAAGTAGTGAGTTAATCACACTTAGGCCTTGTTTGGCATGCAACAATTTTAGCCTAAAAGTCAAAAAGTTACTAAAAAAATCAAAAAGTTTATAACTTATACAAAAAAATTAAAGATTCCCTTTTGTCTTTACTTTTTTGCACATATTTTCGGAAAAAATTAAAAAATCATTTCAAACAATCTAGAGTTTTTTATCTCATATTTTAGCTAAAAAGTTACTAAAATAATATGTTTTCAAACGAGATCTTATCCTCAGGATAAGTTAATCAAAGTTCATTTTGACCGGATCTTTTCTTATAGTCTTGGGTTATGCCACCATTAACGACCCAATCGAATATGGATTGTAAACCCAACCAATTTCCAACCATATCAATAATATGATAGAAATGCATCGAGATGACCAATTTCCAACCATATCAATAATATGATAGAAATGCATTGAGATGGATTTAAAAATCAGAAATGAGAGATCCTTTGAATCTTTCCCATTTTTCCATATTTTACATCATGCCCAGCCTAGAAGTTACCAACCAACCACCAACTGCATATTTGAATAGTAGTAAATGAAATAATCAAACATTGACATTTATAATAATAAAAAATCGAAATATATAATCTTGGTGGCTAAGTAACTCCTAGTATATAAGAACTCATGAAGTCCATACACAAAATCAACTTCAAAGTTTCAAACACCATACACATTGTTGAGAGTAAGAGGTCTAAGTAACAAGTCTTGAAATGGCAGAACAAGTGAAGTTGTTTGGTGCTTGGGGAAGCCCTTGTGTTCGCAGAGTTGAGATTGCCCTGAAAATGAAAGGCGTCGAATACGAATTCATTGAAGAAGATCTAACTAACAAGAGTCCTCTTCTTCTTAAATACAACCCTGTTCACAAGAAGATTCCAGTGCTGTTGCACAATGGAAAGCCGATTTGTGAGTCGGTTGTGATTATTGAGTACATTGATGAGACCTGGAAAGGCACTCCCATCTTGCCTGCAGATCCTTATGACAGAGCCATGGCACGTTTTTGGGCTAAGTTCATCGATGAGAAGGTATGTTGGTGTTGGTATATCTTGACATTTCTTTTTTCATCGTACAAAACAATTTTCAGAATAAATTTATATTACACATTTATTTTGTGCGCGCAATATTATTGCTCTGACTATATGAACTATTAAAACCCCGATTGGGGATGTACTTTAAATCAACTATAGTTCCAGTTAAGTTTGATTCGTTGACTTCTCACATATGCAATAGTGATATATCCCAAATCTTAGCACTTGAATAATACGCTACCATAGGTGAAGCCCGTGGCTCAATAGTTTCAATTTGAGACATTTTATCGGTTCTTCTGAATACGCCGAATCCAATGATAATATCCGACACAACCCTCTTACATTGAATGAGACTTACACAATTAATAGGTCTCACCTTATGTGAGGAAATTGTGTACGATTTTGTGCATTTAGAATAAATTTCTCATTTTATTGATCTCAAGTGTCTCTATTCTGTGCACTTTTTTGTGCATTAATTTTGTGTATAACACAGTTTCTTGGATTTGCTCTTCAAAGATACTTACTTTTACACTTTGTGAGTGTTTTTTAGTGCTTGCCTGCACTATGGAAGGCTTGTTGGAGCAAAGATGAGGAACAAGAGAAGGCCATGGAAGAAGCATGTGAGCTCCTGAAAACACTAGAAGCCCAACTCAAGGGTAACAAGTTCTTTGGAGGAGATAACATTGGACTTGTAGACATTGTTGCTAACTTCATCGGATTCTGGGTTGAAGTCCTTCTAGAAGCCGCGGGATCAACAGATTTGTTGACAGACGAGAAATTTCCCATCTTATGCAAATGGAAGCATGCCTATGTGAACTGCCGAGTTATCAAAGAAAATCTGCCTCCCAAAGAGAAACTTTTGGCCTTCTTCAGAGCTCGCCAACAACCCGCTAGCGGTCCTAAATATGAGTAGTTTGTTGATCATATCTGAAAATAAATCTTTGCATTGTCAAACTGCAGACTAGTCTTTCTGTGTTTTGTGTTGGGTCCTATGTTGTTGAGTTGAGGTTATTAAGGTAGCTGTTGTTACTATGTATTAGGAGTCTTGTGTTACTTCTGCTTCATTTCAAATAAAGGTGATATGTTTTTAAGGACAGGCTGATCTACAACATCCCCAGCGACTGTTGGGGATTTAGACACTAAAAACATTTAAATTTAAAATTGACTTAACATAAATATATCAACAAGTAAAATCATAAATTTTATAGGACTCAAACAGAGAGTACTAAACAATGACAGGGCAGTCCTAAAAGGTTTGCCTTATTTCATTCTGCAATTATAGTCAACAAGATTTCCCATCTGCACCATCATTAACAAACCATGACAAATTCGCCTATAAATCCATGCAACTAAAAATACCAAAAAAAAAAAAAACAAAAAAAAAAAATAGAAAAAGGCCAAAAACTCACATAAGTGTGGTTAAATTGGGCTCGTTTGGAAAATTTATTGTTTTAGTAGACTATTTTAATTTTTGACTATTTTAGTAAGTTAAAATTTTTATATTTAAAAAGATAGTTCGATTTTTTTATAGTTAGATGTAATATTTCTAAGAGAAAAAATTAAATGATTATGAGTTTGATGTGACATTGTGTCTTATTGGCTGATTTAGCCTATTTTGTTTTTTGTTTTTTGTTTTTGTTTCTCTTTTTTTTTTTCTTTTTTTATTATTTTGGTGTGTAGATTTTAGCCTAAAAAAAGCCATAAACCCATTTCCAAGCCATTGTCTAGGTTTATTAGTTCTAACCACCTTACAGTCATCCTTGTGTCTTGATCTTGAAGTCCTATATTCCCAAAATTGGGCCTGTTACCGAGTGCACACCAGATTCACAGAATCAGACAAACAAGGGTTCTCTCTTGAGTTTCATTGTATCCTGGAGACAAGTTAGTTGTTAAATATTGCAAATCAAACCAAACCAAACCAAACCAAGTCTTAAGTCTCATCAAATGAGGTCGGTTATATGAATAACAAAATTCGAGGGGATGGATATTGTTTCAAGGAAAGAGACATTGTAATGCAACTTCAAGCAATATGTCTTTCTTCATCTTCTATTACAGAAACTCTGCCCCGACAATTTCTCGAGACTATGAACATATTCATGTTACATTGAAAAACTTAGCCCAAATCAATTAAATAGCATTTTATTAATCAATTAATATTGAGCAGGAATATAAGTTAACTGTTCTTGAATTTTATTGTTCACTGAATAAATCAGTTGTTTTGAGAAAGTAATCATAGGCATAGCCTCTTGTATTCTTGACCATCAAGAATTCATGAGGTGTTGGATAACGTCATTGAATCTCCTTCCAGTTGCTTGCTGCGAAAACCACATTGGAATTCACATAAACATCATTTGACCAAAGTTGCTATTTTCTAATACCCACCAATTGAATACTTGTCAAGTAAATACATATAATCTTGGTGGCCAAGAAACTCCTAGTATGGCTCCTCTATAAGAAGCCACCAAGTCCATGAATAAAAAACCAACCTCAAACTTAAAAGAGCTAAGAATTTCTAAAATGGCTGAACAAGTGAAGTTGTTGGGACATTGGGCAAGTCCTTTTAATTGCAGAATTGAGACAGCCCTGAAATTGAAGGGCGTCCAATACGAATTCATCCAAGAAGATCTCCAAAACAAGAGTCCTCTTCTTCTCAAGTGCAACCCCATTCACAAGAAGATTCCAGTGCTCTTACACAATGGAAAGCCCATTTGTGAGTCACTTGTCATTCTTGAGTACATTGATGAGACCTGGAAAGGCACTCCGATCTTCCCTGAAGATCCTCATGAGAGAGCCATAGGGCGTTTCTGGGCCAACTTCATAGATGAGAAGGTATGTTATTATATCTTTTTTCTGAAAAACAAAAATGTTACATGCGAAACCTCATAGTCTCTGTAGTATGTCTTTAGTCGTTACAATGCTAAGTTCTAACTGCATCAATTTTACCTTATAATGCACCTTTACAAATTAGATAAAAATCGAAGGCACAGTGATCCATTCATCTCTTCAAAATGAATGATGAGTTGGCCATTGATTTCTATCTAATTTCTTAATGAATATTATTAATTGGACTTAATTGACACAACGCACCAGCTATTTTTCAAATTTTGCCTTGTCCTGTCTATGTGGTCATATTTTGGCCTCTTATAATAATCCCAAAATGTTACATGCGGATGTGATTTGATGAAGTTGTATCACACTTTAATACTTTCATTAGATTGAATTCATATGGTGCATTGGATTTTTCTAATTTTATACTTTGGTCTGTGTATTATAGTGCTTGCCTGCAATAAAGAAGGCTTTTTTTACCAAAGACGATAAGGCCATTGAAGAAGCAAGTGAGCTCCTGAAAACATTGGAAGCCCAACTGAATGATAACAAGTTTTTTCGAGGAGACAACGTCGGTCTGGTAGACATTGTCGCAAACTTGTTTGGATATTGGGTAGGAGTGATTCAGGAAGCAATGGGTGTAGAGTTGTTGACAGAAGAGAAATTTCCCAGACTCCGCAAATGCATCGATGAGTATGACAATTGCAATGTCATCAAAGAATGTCTGCCTCCCAGAGAAAAACTACTTGCCTTTGCCAAAGTTACTTACAAGCCAAGCCAACCAACTAATTAGTTTTTTTTTTATAATTATCTATGCTGCAAAATAAAAATATGCAGTTTCGAACTGCAGACCGGTCTTCTTTTCTATGTATTACTCGTTCTTGTGTTTTGTGTTGCGAGTAAATAGAAGTACTTTTGTTAAATTTCTTGTGGATTTCGATGAGCCACCATTTCGATCTAGAAATCATAAAGAAATTGATAAAGAAATTCCTATTCATTGACTCTTTCCCATTTTTTCATATTTTTATATCCTCTGCTGAGACTACTGGAGGTTTCCAATCACCAACAACATATTTGATCAATATAGTAAATGGACATGAAAAACCAGAAATGAGTCTTTAACTATCCCATTTTTCCATCATTTTATATCCTCTGCCAAGGCTACCAGAGGTTTCGAATTACCAACTACGTATTTGATTAAAATAGTAAATGGAGTCATCAAAATAGACATATAATCTTGCTGGCTAAGTAACTAATAGCAAAATTCCTTTATAAGAACTCATCAAATCCAGACGCATAATCAACTTCAAAGTTTCAAACACATACAAACACACTCTTGAGAGTAAGAGCTCTAAATAACAAGTGTTGAAATGGCAGAACAAGTCAAGTTGTTTGGTGTTTGGGGAAGCCCTTTGTTTGCAGAGTTGAGAATGCTCTGAAAATGGAAGGTGTCGAATATGAAGTCATTGAAGAAGATATAACTAACAAGAGTCCTCTTCTTCTTAAGTACTATCCTTGTTCACAAAAAGATTCCAGTGTTGTTGCACAATGGGAAGCCTATTTGCCAGTTGGTTGTGATTCTGGAGTACATTGATGAGAAGGTATGCTCACTCTGGTGTGATCTCAAACAATTTGAGGGCTGCTTTACTAGGATTATGATAATGTTACGTGCACAAACTAAATTTAGAAGACAGACAAATCAATGTCGGTACTATACGGGTACTCAAAAAAAAAATACTCAAAATTTGAAATTTATGGATCAGAGTTATTCTAGATGTGGAATATAAAGTTCGAATATATAACACACTCTACTTTCTCTTTTCTTTTTTCATGCATTTGAATATATACCACACACAGTTGTTCATGCATTTGCTCTTCAAAGATACTGACTTCTACACTATGAGTACTTGCCTGCACTATGGAAGGCTTGGTGGAGCAAAGACAATGAACAAGCGAAGACCACGGAAGAAGCCTGTGAGCTCCTGAAAACACTAGAAGCCCAACTCAAGGGTAACAAATTCTTCGGAGGAGACAAACATTGGAATTGTAGACATTGTTGCCAACTTTATCGGATTCCGGCTTGGAGTCCTTCTGGAAGCCATGGGATCAGAAGAGTTGTTGACTGATGAGAAATTTCCCATGGGAGAGCAATGTCGGAAATTAGATCCAACTCAGCTTGAAATCGGAGAGCAATGTCGGAAATTAGAGAGTTTCAAATTGCCAGAATGAGCAGAAATTTCGGCGAATTTGAAGGTGACGAAGGCCGATCCGGCAGCAGAATAAGCAGCCATGGAAACTCTGGCGATTGAAGAGAGAGAGAGAGAGAGAGAGAGAGAGAGAGAGAGAGATGAAGAAGAAGAAGATCGCTACAAAGATAATATTAGTTTTATGTATAAAGAAAGAGAAAGAATTGTGTATTGAAATGTTGTATTGAATGTTGTGTATATAATGTGAAGGTACCTCTCCTTTTATAGAGGGGAGAGTGTTACAAAGGGGCCAAAAGAGCCGAAAGAAGAAAACATAATTATTAAACACTTTACATATTATATTCTAACAGCCCCCCTCAAACTCAAGGAGGATAGGAACCAACCAACTTGAGTTTGGAGAGAGTAACAAAACAGGAAAATAAAATAGGATAGGAGACACTGTATGGTCGTGTCAGACCGTTGTAGAAGACACGGTATGGTCGTGTCGGACCGTTGTAGCAGACACTGTGTGGTTGTGTCAGACCGTTGTAGAAGACAGTTTATGGGGTCATGTCGAACCGGTGTAGCAGGACAGTTTACGGGGTCATGTCGGACCGATGTAGAAAACAGTTTACGGGGTCATGTCGGACCGTTGTAGCAGACAGTTTACAGGGTCATGTCGGACCGTTGTAGAAGCTGACTCGCTTCTAGGGTTTTCAACCTCCTCTCCCCGATTGGTGTCTTGATGTCTTCGATTTCGGCCGTCGATCGTCTTTCGTTGATGAAGTACGTGTTTCCGATCGAGCGATTGCCTGAGTGGGTTAGGTTTTTGCTTCAGAGCGAGCGAGATTGCCGGGTTTTGGCCGATTTCTGTCCCTTGTTTAAAGGTAGGATCAAGGAAGATTCAATTAAGGGTTCGTTTCAAGTTCAATTGAATGTGTTTGAGTATTACTTTTTCTGGTTTGCTTATTACCCTGTATGCAGAGGAAATAATGAGAATTCTGATACCGTGAGGGTTCGGAGGAGTCGAAAGTTTCGATTGGAGAATTGGGCTTCTTCATTTCCTGGATTATCGACCAATAAGCGTGGTGGCTCAGAGCAGAAAGTTGAGTGTGGTTTGTATTTACGCCTTCTTTATTCTTATCTTCGTGCATTTGTGCCAATTTCTGTTAATACACACCAACCTTATCGTAGCTCGCTTCTACATTACAATTCGAGCTATGATAATTCTGTTGTCGATCAAGCCGAGTTCATTGTTAATGCCCTGAAACACTTTTGGTTAGTCGATAACGATTTCTCACCCGTACCTGTGAATGTATGCAAATCGTTCGGAGGGTCGTTTCCTTTTCGTTCGGTTCTTGGCGAGACTCCGCCCACTTCTGGGTTGGGAGAGGTAGTCAATTTGTTTGTTAAGTATCTGAATTTGAGTTCAGTTGCGCTTACTGAAGTGTCTGATCAGGTTGAATGTAGTGAGAGTCCTAGGTGGAGGGTATTGGGATCTTCTGATGTTTTCAAGTCGAGGAATGCTATGTCAGCAACTTCTGGTGTGGATTCTATTGGTTGCTGGAACTCATGGATTCAGAGGCCATTGTACCGGTTCATATTGAGGACTTTTTTGTTTTGCCCTGTGGAGACTTCTATCAAGAATGCATCTCAGGTGTTCTCTGTTTGGATTAGTTATATGGAGCCTTGGACAATCAGCTTGGAAGATTTTAAGGAGCTAGAGGCAGATGTTGGTACATTAGCTAAAAATACGACAAAGGTGAATCCCCAATATTCATCTTCATGGCAGGCCTTTGTATTGTCCAATTATCTGTTCTACAGTTCCTTGGTTATGCATTTTTTTGGATTCGCACACAAGTTCCTTCACACAGATCCAGAAGTAATCGTGCAAATGGTATCAAAGGTTTGTTTCTCACTAGCAATTCTTTTAATTACATATTGTTATGATTTGAATCACTATGCATATATTAATGTTGCTTTATGAAGGGAATAGAGAATATATGCTTAAATTTTTTTGCGGGGCCTTTATCTTGGACTTTTGAACTGAGAATTTTGGCTCAAAACTTAGAAGATTGTGGGTAACGAATTCAGACTAGTAGTCTCATGTATGATATATTGCAGCTGTTAAAAAGTGCAAAGACTGTTACCCGCTTTATTTCTTGCTGAATAAGCTGTTGGGTGGTAAATTCCCAATTCAGTCTAATCAAAGGAAAGATACTCTAATAATACTCAAAACAACCAACTACGCGGGATTATAGTGTCGCGCAAATGCACCGCTACGCCGACCCACACAGTAATTGTTGCTCCACGTACCCTTCGCATGATGCCGACCTTCCAGATCCTCGTCCATCTAACGGTCCACAACAAACCATCTTCTCTCTCTCTCTGTCTCTCTCTCTTCCAAGCTGGGCATAAAAGGGCGCCATTTGCTTCCTCTCTCATTTAAATCTTCAAAACCCTTGTGTGCCCTAATCCCCAATCTCTCTACTCTATCTCTACAATGATTTCTCACACACATGCAACGGACACCCAGACCAAATCCACCGACCTCGCATCCAAAATCCTCGCCGCCACAACGCCGCAGCAGATCGCCGCCGTGTGCGGCGCAATCGAGTCGTTTCTCCACAAACACACCCCGGACCAGACTCGCTGGTTCTTCTCCATCACTTTCCCAACCCTAATTTGCAAAATCTTCGGCTTCGCCGAGTCGCCACCTCACCGGCCTCCCCAGTCCCCCACCGCCTGGGTCGACTCGGTCGATTCTGAGCTCGCTTCTAGGGTTTTCAACCTCCTCTCCCCGATTGGTGTCTTGATGTCTTCGATTTCGGCCGTCGATCGTCTTTCGTTGATGAAGTACGTGTTTCCGATCGAGCGATTGCCTGAGTGGGTTAGGTTTTTGCTTCAGAGCGAGCGAGATTGCCGGGTTTTGGCCGATTTCTGTCCCTTGTTTAAAGGTAGGATCAAGGAAGATTCAATTAAGGGTTCGTTTCAAGTTCAATTGAATGTGTTTGAGTATTACTTTTTCTGGTTTGCTTATTACCCTGTATGCAGAGGAAATAATGAGAATTCTGATACCGTGAGGGTTCGGAGGAGTCGAAAGTTTCGATTGGAGAATTGGGCTTCTTCATTTCCTGGATTATCGACCAATAAGCGTGGTGGCTCAGAGCAGAAAGTTGAGTGTGGTTTGTATTTACGCCTTCTTTATTCTTATCTTCGTGCATTTGTGCCAATTTCTGTTAATACACACCAACCTTATCGTAGCTCGCTTCTACATTACAATTCGAGCTATGATAATTCTGTTGTCGATCAAGCCGAGTTCATTGTTAATGCCCTGAAACACTTTTGGTTAGTCGATAACGATTTCTCACCCGTACCTGTGAATGTATGCAAATCGTTCGGAGGGTCGTTTCCTTTTCGTTCGGTTCTTGGCGAGACTCCGCCCACTTCTGGGTTGGGAGAGGTAGTCAATTTGTTTGTTAAGTATCTGAATTTGAGTTCAGTTGCGCTTACTGAAGTGTCTGATCAGGTTGAATGTAGTGAGAGTCCTAGGTGGAGGGTATTGGGATCTTCTGATGTTTTCAAGTCGAGGAATGCTATGTCAGCAACTTCTGGTGTGGATTCTATTGGTTGCTGGAACTCATGGATTCAGAGGCCATTGTACCGGTTCATATTGAGGACTTTTTTGTTTTGCCCTGTGGAGACTTCTATCAAGAATGCATCTCAGGTGTTCTCTGTTTGGATTAGTTATATGGAACCTTGGACAATCAGCTTGGAAGATTTTAAGGAGCTAGAGGCAGATGTTGGTACATTAGCTAAAAATACGACAAAGGTGAATCCCCAATATTCATCTTCATGGCAGGCCTTTGTATTGTCCAATTATCTGTTCTACAGTTCCTTGGTTATGCATTTTTTTGGATTCGCACACAAGTTCCTTCACACAGATCCAGAAGTAATCGTGCAAATGGTATCAAAGGTTTGTTTCTCACTAGCAATTCTTTTAATTACATATTGTTATGATTTGAATCACTATGCATATATTAATGTTGCTTTATGAAGGGAATAGAGAATATATGCTTAAATTTTTTTGCGGGGCCTTTATCTTGGACTTTTGAACTGAGAATTTTGGCTCAAAACTTAGAAGATTGTGGGTAACGAATTCAGACTAGTAGTCTCATGTATGATATATTGCAGCTGTTAAAAAGTGCAAAGACTGTTACCCGCTTTATTTCTTGCTGAATAAGCTGTTGGGTGGTAAATTCCCAATTCAGTCTAATCATGACTTCCATTATGGAAGGTATCATGAGGATAAGGGCGGTTCATTGGTATCCATGTTGTGGAATAACAGAGTAGTTCAAGAGATTGGAACACAGAACTTGGTATGTGTAATTAATTGACAACATCTATAATTTTGAAAGAAAAATTAATTGAAAATTACCAAAATAACAAGTGACTATTGAAATATCATTACTATAATTTAATAAAATAGTATTATTTATTATTAAATTATAACAATAATAATGATATTATAGCAACAAGGAAAGATACTCTAATAATACTCAAAACAACCAACTACGCGGGATTATAGTGTCGCGCAAATGCACCGCTACGCCGACCCACACAGTAATTGTTGCTCCACGTACCCTTCGCATGATGCCGACCTTCCAGATCCTCGTCCATCTAACGGTCCACAACAAACCATCTTCTCTCTCTCTCTGTCTCTCTCTCTTCCAAGCTGGGCATAAAAGGGCGCCATTTGCTTCCTCTCTCATTTAAATCTTCAAAACCCTTGTGTGCCCTAATCCCCAATCTCTCTACTCTATCTCTACAATGATTTCTCACACACATGCAACGGACACCCAGACCAAATCCACCGACCTCGCATCCAAAATCCTCGCCGCCACAACGCCGCAGCAGATCGCCGCCGTGTGCGGCGCAATCGAGTCGTTTCTCCACAAACACACCCCGGACCAGACTCGCTGGTTCTTCTCCATCACTTTCCCAACCCTAATTTGCAAAATCTTCGGCTTCGCCGAGTCGCCACCTCACCGGCCTCCCCAGTCCCCCACCGCCTGGGTCGACTCGGTCGATTCTGAGCTCGCTTCTAGGGTTTTCAACCTCCTCTCCCCGATTGGTGTCTTGATGTCTTCGATTTCGGCCGTCGATCGTCTTTCGTTGATGAAGTACGTGTTTCCGATCGAGCGATTGCCTGAGTGGGTTAGGTTTTTGCTTCAGAGCGAGCGAGATTGCCGGGTTTTGGCCGATTTCTGTCCCTTGTTTAAAGGTAGGATCAAGGAAGATTCAATTAAGGGTTCGTTTCAAGTTCAATTGAATGTGTTTGAGTATTACATTTTCTGGTTTGCTTATTACCCTGTATGCAGAGGAAATAGTGAGAATTCTGATACTGTGAGGGTTAGGAGGAGTCGAAAGTTTCGATTGGAGATTGGGCTTCTTCATTTCCAGGATTATCGAGCAATAACACTATGTTTGGGAACTTATGAGAGAAAAGAAAAGAAATGATTACTTAAGTAATAAGAGAAAAGAAAAGAAAAGAAATGATTGTGATTTCTCTTCTTTTTGTTTAGATAAGGAAGAAATAAAAGAAAAGAAATGATTATGATTTCCCTCATTCTTGTTTGGTTAAGTTTCATTAAGAGAAAAGAAAAGAAATTATTTTATGTTATATTACCAAAATAACCTTTTTATATTTTCAATCATTTTATTTCTTTTACTTTTATAAGGACAAAATTGGTATTATGAAAATAGTGGTTTCTTTTCTCTCCCAATCTCTCCACTTTTGGGAAGATTGAAAATGAGGCTTATAAGAGAAATGAGTTTCTCTCCATTTCTCTCCATTTCTTCCCATTTCTCTCTACTTAGGTTATCCAAACAAATAATAAAAATACATATCACTTCATTTCTTTTCTTTTCTCTCCAAATCACTCAATCCAAACATAGTGTAAGCGTGGTGGGTCAGAGCAGAAAGTTGAGTGTGGTTTGTATTTACGCCTTCTTTATTCATGTCTTCGTGCATTTGTGCCAATTTTTGTTAATACACACCAACCTTATCGTAGCTCGCTTCTACATTATAATTCGAGTTATGATAATTTTGTTGTTGATCAAGCCAAGTTCATTGTTAATACCCTGAAACACTTTTGGTTGATCGATAGCGATTTCCCATCCGTACCTGTGAATGTATGCAAATCATTCGGAGGATCATTTCCTTTTCGTTCGGTTCTTGGCGAGACTACGCCCACTTCCGGGTTGGGAGAGGTAGTCAATTTGTTTGTGAAGTATCTGAATTTGAGTTCAGTTGCGTTTACCGAAGTGTCTGATCAAGTTGAATATAGTGAGAGTCCTAGGTGGAGGGTATCAGGATCTTCGGATGGTTTTAAGTCAAGGAATGCTCTGTCAGTAACTTCTGGTGTGGATTCTATTGGTTGTTAGAACTTATGGATTCAGAGACCATTGTACCAGTTCGTATTGAGGACGTTTTTGTTTTTGCCCTGTAGAGACTTCTATCAAGAATGTATCTCAGGTGTCCTCTGTTTGGATTAGTTATATGGAACCTTGGACAATCGGCTTGGAAGATTTAAGGAGCTAGAGGCAGTTGTTGGTACATCAGCTAAAAATACAACAAAAGTGAACCCCCAATCTTCAGCATGTGGAGATGGCAGGCCTTTGTATTGACCAATTATCTGTTCTACAGTTCCTTGGTTATGCATTTTGTTTGGATTCGCACACAAGTTCCTTCACACAGATCCAGAAGTAATCGTGCAAATGGTATCAAAGGTTTGTTTCTCACTTGCAATTCTTTTAATTACATGTTATGATTTGAATCATTATGCATATATTAATGTTCCTTTACGAATGGAATAGAGAATACATGCTTAAATTTTTGGGGGGCTTTATCTTGGACTTTTGAACTGAGAATTTAGGCTCAAAACTTAGAAAATTGTGGGCAATGAATTTGAACTAGTAGTCTCATGTATGCAGTGGGGGTCCCTGCAAAGTCAACAAAAATCATACATATATATATGTTAAATATATATTTTTTATGTAATCTCTTAACAGTGGCCCCCCTTGTTTATATTCACCTCTGGTCTTCTTTTCCTCCTATTTCAAAGATTGGGCCCCACCTCATCCAATGATACAAACAAATATCTGTGAATAAAAAAACTAAAAAACAAATAAAAGTCATGTGATACAAGTTACAACTCACAAGTGAGTCACGTGGTGGGATGGGATGTCAAGCTTGTAGAGGAAGTTTGGAGTTTTAACAAACAAGCAAACATCTCAGATTAGAGCAGTTCAAAAATAAATAAATAAATAAATAGAGCTCTCATTTGAAAGGGTTTTCTCTTCTTTTTTTTCTGCTATGAATTAGGAGAACCAATAACTCTTAACGGCAAAACCCACCTTTTAAAAAGCAATTGACAAAGAAAGGTAACATTCAATAACTCATGAACTCCCTTTGTTTTTATTAATTTATTTTAAAATTAAAATATTTAGTTAATAAATAGAGAATGAGATATTCATTTTTATTTTGGTTTTTTCCTTATGATTAGTAGAGAAGATGACTCCCAGCTTTTGGACATGTTCTCACTTATCACTATCATCAGTATTTCTCCTTTTTTCTCAATAGAAGGTAAGTCTCCCTGTTTTTATGTTTGTTAATTTTAATCTGTTTATATAAATTGTATATTTTATGTTTGAATTTATTTAATGTTTTGTATATTGTTAAAGATGATATGTGCTTGTAATATAAATAAAATTTGAAGTTATCAAAAGTTTAGATTCATAAAAAAAATAATGTATAAATAAAATTTTCAAGTTATCAGAAGCTTAAATGTGTTCATGTCATGGGGAAACTAAAAACAATTGATACATTCTTTAAAAGAAAAAAATTCAACATCTGATGTGCCTAACTTGAACTCTAATATTGAGACTTCAATTCCTGAACAACATCCTTCAAAAAATCCACAAGTTGAATGTCAAGATGTAGACACTTCATAAATGGAAATTATGTGTCTTTTTGTTAGTTTTACAGTAAAGGAGACAAGATATAGTCATTTTGTAACACACTTTTCGTTATATCATGGTATTAATATATAAAGAATTTTAATCTTTGTTGCTTCATAAATGGTTATAGCTAGTGGATATTTATTCATTTATTTATTATTTAAGTCCACATTTATAATATTAATTTGGCCCCCAATTAAGAAATCATTCCTCCGCCCCTGCCTATATTTATATAACTCAAACAGAGAGCAATGATAAACAATGACATAGCAGTCCTAAAAAGTTTACATTATTTCGCGTATAAACCCATGCAACCAAAAAAACAAAAAAAGCGAAAAATAAATAAATAAATAAAAGAAAAGAAAAAGAGAAGGGCCAAAAACTCACAATCATAATCAGTGGTACCATGGTCACCATGACTAGGTTAATTACTTCTAACCACCTTACAGTCATCCTTGAGTCTTGATCTTAAAGTCCTGTCTAAGCCTTCGTTTGGCAACTTGGGTTGAGTTAGATTGGGTTAGGTTGAGTTTGGGGGTTATTTTATTCACAAAAGATAAAATAGTTTTTAGCGAGACAAAATGTCACATCCAATCCATAATCATTACATTCTTTCTCTCACAAAAATCAAAAAAGCCAAAAACCTATCTCAAACCAGACGTTTTAACTTCATGTTAAAATAATCAAAAAGTCAACCCACTTCCCAAACGAATCCTTCAATGAAACTAGGTCTAGTTGGTTGTTTTTTCACTTTTTTTTCTTCATCTTCATGTCTTTAGAAATAAAATCAATGAAGAATTCAAAAACACCCATTGCTTTCATTTTTGGAGCATATCTTCTGCAGAAATACACTTCAACAATTTTGGCAAATGAGAAAATCTGAGATATTCAGGTCTGATTTCGTTTGTGCAAAACATAATCAGACACAAAGATGTTCTCCTGTACAAGTTCATCGTTACCTAGGCTAGTGCTGCCTCACGAGCACAAATAGCATCCACCAGTATGGACAGGAGGGGATCCAGATCTTTCAAGCAATATGTCTTCTTCTTCTATTACAGAAACTCTGCACTGCACCATTAATTTCATGGGACTAAGTACATATTCATGTAGCATTGAAAAACTCGCTCAAAATTAAATAAAATAACATTTATTTAATTAATATTGAGCAGGTATATAATTAACTGTTCTTGAATTTCATTGTTGGCTGTAAATGGATTGGGATTGGATTAATTTCACAGAATCCGATCCAATTATTTGTTAATTGGAATCCCAATCCAAATCCGATATTGAGAGCCGGTTTGGAAACGTTGTTTTTTTAGCAATTTTTTGACTTCTGACTTTTTTATGAGATGAAAAAAGTCAGTATATTTGGGATAGTTTTTTTAGTTGAATAGATGATTATTGTGAGGAAAAAAGTGATTGATTGATGCGTAGAATGTAACATTTTAACTCTTTTGTCATTTTTTGGTTATTTTAGCAAAAAAGCTTCTCCCCAAAGTTGGTAACAGTAATCAGTGGACAATTCTCCTGTATTTCATTGACCATCAAGAATTCATGAGGTATTGGATTACCTCATTGAATCTCCTTCCAGTTGCTTGTTGAAAAGACATCAGAATATTCACAGGAAAATCATTTGACCAAAGTCACTATTTTTAATTGAATATTTGATAAGTACATACATACAATGGTAGAGAAAGTGAAATTGACTCGTTGATCATACCCGCAAATAAATCCTTGCATTGTTAAATTGCAGACTAGTCTTTCTGGTTTTTTGTGTTGGGTCCTATGCTATTGTGGTGAGGTTACTAAGGTACTTGCCTTTACTATGTATTAGGAGTCTTGTGTCACTCTTGCTTCATTATATGTGTTTTATAGACAAGCATATACAACATCCCTAGGTCCTGTTGGGGATTTAGACACTTAAAACATTTGAATTTAAAATTGACTAACATAAAGATATCAACAAGTAAAATCATAATTCATGTAACCAATGAACAAAAATAATAAAGATATTTAAAGAAAGAAAGTAGTCTGTGAGAAATTCAAAAATATCCATTGCTTTCATGTCATTTTCATTGTTGTGAGAAAACAGTTTTCGAAAAACAACTTTTTGGTTTTTCCAGAAAATTTGGTTGTTTTGAGAAACAGTTCACAAAGACAATTGATTTTTTGTTTTCCAAAAAATAAAAAACACAACCAAATAATTGCAATTCTCTAGTTAATCGTCATTCTTATTACTTCCGCATATACTGGAATTTTGCTTCTGTGATCCATCAAACAGTTATTGACTTCTTAGTTGTTAGTATCTTAGTTGGAATAGATGCGAAAATCAGGTGCTCCGATGTGAAAATATTCAAGATGTTGCAAATCTCATGAATTTCTAATATGGCCTCCATAAGAAGAGGAATTGAAACCAACAATAGTTGATCGTCATTTCGCACGAAAAACCATAGATGGTGAGATATGGGTTGATTCCAAACTTGCAACCATGGTCGATCCAATCTAGCCCACATGAAAACTGAAATGTTGAAATTCAGTACTCCCACAACAGACACAGGAGTCATTTCTGAACACTGAAATCATTACTTTTCTTCTCTCTTTTAAGGCTGAGCCTTTTTTGTTTTCATTTTTGGAGTGTATCTTCTGCAGAAATACACTTCTGGAATCTTGGCAAATGAGAAAATTTGAGATGTTCAGGTCTGATTTCATTTGTGCAATGCGTAATCAGACATAGATGTTCTCATGCACTTCATTGTATACTAGAAGTGTTGGAGAGGGTTCAAGAAAGGAGTTGGAAAATTCGAATATCTTCGAAGATCTTTGAAGAACAATTTCGAATTCTCTAGAAGATGATGAGAGGTTTAGATTTTTCAATAGTCTCAACTCAAGAACACAAGAGTAAAGGAGATGATGGAGATAAGAGATTGGGTGAAGAAGGTAAAATGGCTAGAGAGAGAATAATGGCAAGACTCTCCTATGGATCTCTCACTTTCACTCTCAAGATTGATAATGGAGAAGGGAAATTAGTTCTTTCCCAAGAGTTAATTCTCCAAAATTCATCCCTTGTAAAGTTATGGGTGGGTGCTATTTATAGGCACCTCATGATATAGGATGGAGCCCATGTGCAAGGCACATGGGGAA